GTCACTTTTAAACTTTTACCTTTTTACGTTCTTAAACTTTTTTATTTCGTCGCCCGCTGTTTCTTTCTGTTTTACTATAGTTTTATTAATAGAAACACAATAAAAAAAGAACTGGTGTGCATATCCAAACAGAACAAGAAAAGAAGAATAGGTAGATATTTAAGTTAGTCAACAGAATTTATAAATTCCATTTCTTTTATTCCTCTTTTTTCTTCTCAACTTTCACATCTAACTCTATTCAAAACGATGAACGATTTAACAACTACAATCACTGATACACAATTATTTAAAGCGGTAGAAAAAGAAACGAAACCGGCACGTAGATTTTTCAACAAATTCATGAATGATTGGTCTCTTGACTTTGCATCAATGTTGGCGTACAATTTATTAATTGCACTTTTACCTATTGCTGTTACATTCTTCGGTATCTTTGGTCTCGTAATGGGTAATGATGCAGAATTACAGAATAAATTAAAAAATGAAATAATTAATGCATTTCCAGCAGATAATACTACACAATCGGGTATAACACAAATTGTTGATTTAGCATTTAAACAATTGTCGAAAGACGCTGGTTTTGCACTGGCTATTGGTATTCTATTCTCGATGTTTGGCGCATCCCGTTTATTTATTGCAATTGATAAATCAATGACGATCATCTATCGTTTAAAAGAACGTCCATTATTAAAACAGTATCTGTTAGCAATGGGTATGATATTCTTGCTTACTATTACCATAACATTAATGATAGTTGCATCTGCAGTACCAACGGGTTTATTATCAATTTTACCTGGAGCTAACAGCCGTGCTGGCACATACATAGCAGGACTCGTAGTGTCTCTCTGTATTGCATTTCTATTATTTGAATTAATTTACTTCATCGTTCCAAATAAACGAATGACATTGAAAACCACCTGGTGTGGCTCATTGATAGCTGCAATTGTACTTGAAATATTTATTCTTCTGTTTCCATTGTACGTTAAACATTTTATGGGAAACTTTTCCGGCGTGATTGGATTTGCTGTTATCTTGCTACTATTCTTTTATTACTTTGCAACAATTCTCATTTTGGGTGCACAAATAAATGCATTCTTTTTCGAACATATTCAACCATTGAAAACAGAAATAGGATCATTTCTGAACACAAACGTTTGCGACGAACCATTACTCCATACAAATGAATGTGATACATTTCAGTTTTGGAAACGTTGTTGTCGACGGAAAAGAAGAGTTCATGAAGATCATGATACATAGAGTTCTTGAGAACTCAGCGCACTTTCAGTATTGACGATTCTTTATTGGTGAAATGAGAGCGATTTGTCTTATTAATTTCAATGACAAATGAAACTCTGACAGATTCGAAGACGCTATTCATGGGTTTTTAGTAGGATAATTGGCGGTAATAAGCCCTTCGTGTGGCTTAATCCCACGGAAAAACTAAGTCTGAATTACCATCTAAAGACAATACGTCTCATCAATCTTTGGAAGCTGAGATTATTTACAATACGACAAAGATGTGTTGGATATTTTTACTCCCGAAGCTTGGTTCGGACCAACAGAGTGTGATCTAGGAATGCAGAAAACATTGATAAAATCTTCGTGTTACGGTACATGTATGGCACACAGCAGGGCGAATATGTATGGAAAATGGGTATTTTTTTTATGATCAGTTTTGGTTGTCGATTTCTGAAGATTTCTGAGTTCCTGTGGAGACACAAAGCACGTGTCATACACTATTTTATTCACGAGTTGGTACTCTACTCAAGTGTCTTCATGCTAGTTTATAGAACAAATAATTCTCTATGAAACAGACGTAGAATAAATTAGTCCCATACTCAATAAAAGTATCTTTACTCGAAAGAAAGAGTCCTCGAGGCTCGAATATTGGAGTTTTAAGTCATAAAAACGTATCATTCAGCGTACTCTTACCCAAAACTAAGTTTCTATAATGTATGGCCTTTAGTTTTCGATTCTATCACAAATTGCCTCTAAATAGACTCTTTTTTTATTGTGTTTCTATTAATAAAACTATAGTAAAACAGAAAGAAACAGCGGGCGACGAAATAAAAAAGTTTAAGAACGTAAAAAGGTAAAAGTTTAAAAGTGACAGTAACAGTCTCGTGCAAAAACGTGACAGACATACGTTAAATTGCATAACTTTTTAGAGAGATGTTTTTAATGAAAGTTGGAAAAATTGCAGTCTTCGATTTGTTATATTTTTAAAGGCGTACAAGAATTTGTATTCCAAAACAGATTGTGTCGGGAACTTTTCTTACAATGATAGCCCTTCAAGAGATATTAAAAGCTTTGAAATGTTTATCCATTCTAGCAGAAGTTCGTACTATTCGAGATACGCTAAGAACTTCGGATCTTAACATCCCAAAATCTTGCAATTCACAGACAAGAAACAAATTTCTGTTTTCTTACTGAAGGAAATGTATTTTTCTTGCCGACCTAGGAGGACGCTCTCTCAAGGAGCATCTTGTGGAATCAATACATGGGTGGTATCGTATGTGTTCGATGAGAAGTAGGGTTATTTGTTGTTGCTCTCATTCCACAGCTGTATGGTGGTATTTCGGTTTTAGTCAAGGAGTAACATTTCCTACTTCATCCTCAATCATCGGAACATTATTTTCATAAAATATAGAATAGTTGAAAGTACAAAAATTTTAATTCTAGTTCAACTGGTATATAGACATTCGTTAGTGATTAAGAGCGGTTATGCAATATAGCATTTTTTCTGTTCTCTGTATGTACTGGATGACCGAAACGACAAGAAAGTAATTGCACAATGCATCAGCGAAAGTAACTTCAATAGACTTTTCACCAAGCAAAATGAAATAAACTATGATAGCTGAGCGATTTCAAGTCTGTGAGAACAATTTACCATTACGGATGGTACTTATATTTATTATCAAAAAGCTGAACACATTAAAAAAGAAAAAGCATTATATAGTAATCATAAGAAACGACGCTTAGTGAGACCGATACTTCTTACAGGTAGTGATGCTTATATTTGACGTATTGTTGGCAGATTTATTTATGGCTGATGGAAAAAATAATGATGGTTCTCGTATAACACACTGCTCGTTTAACAACTATAATGTTACACTTCGTTGGTTGAAAGGCGATGATATTATCATATTGGACAGAGGTTTTCGAGATGTAGTGAATACAATGTAGCTATGCCATGTTTTCTACACTTTGAGACCTGTTCAGACTCTTAGTAACCTGTCCTCATAAAACTATAATGCAAATGCTGACACCTGCTTTTTAAAAATTGAAACAAGAGGTGTAGATCTCAGCATTTTGACCACAGCTTTTTTAAGATAGATTTCCTAGAATCAGATCAGATCTCAAAATGTAGAAAGCAGTTTTTTCTTAAACCCTTTGGTGCCGGGGCACGCATGTATGCGTGTTGAAGTTTTGCACATATTAGCATCATTACTCCAACACGCATATATGCGTGTCCCGGCACCAAAGGGTTAATTGAAAACGTCTCCGAACTCTCTGGAACTTGTAGCTTTGGAGTTATAGTCAACAACAAACAAAATAAGCAAAAAAAGTAATGGTGTGACATTTCTGCCATAGGAGTTACGTGGACAAGCCGTTAACAGACCCGGCGGAAAAATGAATTATAGAATGATCACAATGAGAAGGTAGCTTTGGAAGAATACTTCTGTTTGAAATTGCAATTAATCGGGATATAAAACACAAAATTTCGTCGTAAAAATGATTAAGGGAAAAATGACCAGGTTTTGGGTGAAAATTGACTTCACCATTAGAAAGAGCTTTAAAATTTACATCAGATTCTGTTGTGTTTGATCAAAAGTGTATCGAGCACCCAGCAACTATTTTTTCGAATAAAAACCTTTAACAAATTTTAGTCGAATTTATATCCCGATCGGGAAATAGACGGTTAATCTTTTATTGCTCATAATGGGATATACTCTTGATCTAATCGCTTTCCACATCGACCCTATATCAGTCGTGAAGCCAGCATTTCTGAAGACGCCAAGAGAACCTAATCATTCCAGGCGTTGCGACATTTATAGTCATATTATCTGACACGGCAACATCCCTTTCAAACTAATTAGAGTTGATGAGAAACATGTTAATGTGGAAGTAAGAAATTACATTAACCGATAAAAAATGTTTAGCCGTAATTGTTCGTTTTATGTCACCTTTGTATAAATCAAATAGACATAATCAGTAAACAGATATAATCAATGAATTATCATCATCATCACCTTCAAAACATACAAATTTTTGATATTCTGATCGGGATATAGATTCTTTTGATATCTCAATCGGGATATCGAATTATATCCTGATTTGGTTAAACACGAATCGACGGTTTATAAAAATTTGAATATAAGCCAGACAGAACAGCGCTTCTTTCTCTCATGTGAGACTTACTCTGAAGGTCATATTAAACTCGGTAATACAATAAGTTTAATCTCAGGTACATCTCCGTTTAATCTTAATTTTATTATGTTTGATTTTCGAACATGAGCAAGTTGTACAGATATACCGAGCAATTATTAAGCACATTAAAGGGTTTAACCGGTTCAGTTCATTATGTGGCTCTTCTCTTATTCGATCAAGTCTCGTTTTACCTCACATGTACCATTCTTCACTGGAAATATTTCTCCCACACTGACTCTGCTTAAATATTTGCTTTGTCAGCATCGACTATTCTCATCTCACGGTCTGTTCTATTTCTTTCTACTTTGTATTAAAACGTCACGTGTTAGACTGCTGTTGACCTCATAATATCATGGAATGTTTAACAACGTCATGTTGTTCATTTTCCTTGCAATTCGCATTTTACCAAAACTATTTAAAATCTAGTGAAACGTGTCATTGAGGAAACAGGATTTAGTGCGAGTAGACAAGATAATCGAAAGTGTCTGTTATCCCAATGTTTTTGATATTTTGACGGAAAAATTTAGTTTAATTACAATCCCAAATGGACCTTTGGAAAGTACGCATATCAGATCTATATAATGTTCAAAATGAAGGGATTGGTTTTAACAGTCATAGAACGTAAATCAGTTGCAGTAATACCACCTGAATTAAGTCAACACGAAGTGAATGAGCGTGATGGTAAACAGGATCAAAACATTAACTCAAATGATATAGCTAAGGCATAGTTAACGTTATTTTAGATGGAATACTACACAATTTCAATCAACGATTATCGTATATTGAACGTCGTTTGAATGATTTGGAACGACACGGTCGTACTTACAGTTTACGATTTTTTGGTTTAAAAGAATATAGTGGTGAAGACACAACAATGGCTATAACAAAGTTTATAAATGATAAATTGGAACTAAATGATATAACTAAAGATGATATTAAAATTTACTTTAAACTCTGTTGTTGGATTCTTTATCTTTATTTGTGATGAATCGAACAGAGTTTTCCATATACATTAGTCCCACATACTCTTTCCCGATACATAACAAAATATCGCTGTTCTGTTTATACAAAAGTGGATGAGAATGTCATTTAATGATCCGTAAAATGACAATTTTTCGGACATTGCCTATAATCTGGCATTATTTTCACCGTTATTTCAAAGTCAAAAAGTTGTCATTATGATGGCTGTTAAATGACAATTTTCATTCGATTTTTACACAATTAACAGGCCATTTTTTGGCATACAATTAACAGGCTGTTAATGGACAGTTAAATGTCAGTTTTCGTCGACTTGGGTAGCCTCGATTATTCTAGTCGACAATGAAAATAATAGTCCAGATTGAAAGAGAGAGAGAGAGAGAGCTTCAGTTTCGTTTTAGATAAAGATCTTACAACTCCTTGAAGTCTTGTGTGAATGACCACACTTCAATTGCTTTCAGTCACCGTAACTGAATCGAATTCTTCTAACAATAGTAAACGTTTAGCTGTTACTCAATACAAAGCCTCTATATGGCCTAGAACTAGTGTATCAGAAGAAATGGATCACTTAGTATTTTACCAATATCTGTCAGTTTTAGTCCAACGACTTGAACTTCATTTTAAAAGATTCCGCGTTCAGTTCTGTGCAAAAACTATATTGAACATCTTTTATACATGGTCTTATATCGCAAGTTATAAAGGACTAAAATTAAAAAGCTATTTTTTAAGTTTCTAAGTAATAGCAACTGGAGCTTCGCAGTGTTTCTATATTCTATCTATATTGCATTATTTAAATCTTGTATAAAAATGTTCAACATAGCTTCTGTAGAGAATTGAACGGAGAATCT